CCATAAAGGTCTGATGTAAGTACAGTCGTCATCTTACTGCAGCACAGATAGGAGTAGCAGATGAACACATACTTCATATATATGAGAAAGAAAACGGGTCATGTTCTAAGTGAAATAACTTCACCATCTCCTCCTCATCTCTCCTCCACCCACTTAGTGGACACCTATAGTTGGCCTGTAGAAGTGTATATGCATTTGCTTGCGACATCATGATTGCACAGTTGTTATTCCCTGCTTCTTTGCACCCTGCAGTGAGGCTGCACAAGCCTGCTTATCCAACAGCTCCTGACATTGTGCGGGTGGCAGAAAGAAGAGGGGGTGGGGTGAGGGAGTTTGAGATGTGGGAGGAAGGTTGGGGTGGTATATGGGGAGGTGGGGTGGAAAGGTATGAATGCAGGAGAAAAAGACAGAAAAGCCCAAGGGGGAAAAGTGCAAGCATCAACAATCAAGTCACTCCTGGAGCTCTCCAGTTGCTAGAATTACCGCAGAGGGATGTGAACGTGTCTGGAATAGCTTTGGTGAAACTTCAGCCTCCAAAACGCTTCAAACATTGGAGGAAAAAAAGAATCCCCCGCTTTTTTAAGAGCAGTGAATCAGCTAAAATGTGCTTTTTTTTGTTCTGTTAGAAAACTGTAAACTATAAAATACCATTGCTAACCAAATTTAGCAGAATTCAGACTTTACGCGATAGTTCAGATCTTTAGACGTGGGGTTCTGTGAAAATGTACGAGCTGTTTATATGCTACTTGTTGTAGACAGCTCGTTGAACAACCTCACTTTGAAGTGAACGCCAAATTGATATAAAAGCTTATAAAACAAAATTGGAAAAAAAGTACTGGGAAAGTTTTTAGATTAGATTTGTTTTCAGGACAATCCACTTTGCTCTTTGCCTCATTCAGACAAGTCGTTAAATTAAACTCTATTCCTCTAAAATGAAGTCATTCAAAGAGTTACTCTGTCTACACCAAGTAATATGATAATTGTTAATTTTTCCACTGAACCTCACTTCACAACATCTCTTAGAGTTTGTCCACATTAAGTTTTTTCTTTTAAATAAAGATCGTGCTGTGTGTCTGAAAACTGAACACATACTCAGTTAATGATATTGCACTCAGTACCCAGTCCTCCATGAAATTGTTTTCCTGTTTATTTCCCATTTCTCCATTATAGAATGGCAACAAAATTTCAACAATGTCTCATCATGATCCATGACTTTTTGGTGCGTGTCACCTTGCAGTCACTTGCCAGTAATTCTCAATGATTCCAGGTTAAGCTGTCAACAATAAAGTAGCTTTCTTTAGTGTGTTTGTGAGAATGGCCTTCTCATTTCCTGTCTAAGACACGCCGGCCCACAGATTGCCTTTGTTTGGTCTATTTGTCCGGCGATTTACTCTCTGAGTGAGAAAGCAGCCATGGACTGAGCTGAGATGAGGCATGGCTTTATCAGACCACCATTACACTTTACCTCCATTCCATTTGCACCTTATTATTTTCATCTCTCAGTGAAGGCGCCTGCGTTCCTCTTAGTGTTTGTGTATTCCTTGTTATCACGTTATAGTTTGAGGCAGCGGGTGTGGACGGTGGAGACAGTCAATGCAGAGAAAGAAGAAAGATGAGACCAAGAAAGGGAGAGGAAGGAGTATCCATATGATACAGCCATTACACCTCATGCAGGTTCCATTTGCACCTTATTGTTTGTTTCATTGCTGGGAAAAAAGCAGGTGATTCACCAAGCCGGGAGAGGCAGCTGATCCCTTTTCCCTTGGCACAGTTGCTTTGTGTGTTTATTTGTGTTTGTCTGTAATGTGCAAATTTTCACAGAACATCCGATCAGACAACCATAGCTTTTGCTTGCATGCAATGACCCATTTTTGGGAAGGAATTCTAGCAGTATCTCCCCCCAAATATATGTTTTAAAAACTGAATTTCTGCACAAATGATCCATGGTTGTGAGCCTTCAAACCTGACTATTAGCTGTGTTTTGTGTCCCTCTCAACCAGGTCTCTCACCAATGACCGGGCCTCGGACCTGATGGAGAAGCTGGCCAAAAGGCTGAACCTTCACGCTTCAGATCTCACCCAGCTCTCGTACGTATAAACACAATACGCTGTCTCAAATTCTGATTTACCTCACAGATTATAATACAATAAATAAAGTGCTATGTGTTATCATCATTGTATGTTCCCATGGCGAAATTAGTTCTCTGCATTTAACCCATTGCACCTGGGATACACCCAGGTGGAGCAGTGGGCAGCTATGTAAGCTGCTTGGGGAGCAATTTGGGATTGGCTTGGGGATCAAACCTGGGACTTTCGGGTCCCAGGTCAGCTGCCCTACCTCTACCCCATCTTGGTCCTGCCATTATAGCCTGAGTAAAGTATAACTGGTTACATTTATAGCATTTAAAAGGCTTTTTGTGTTGCCTTTACATTTAAAGAAGCAGGATAAAGGTTGCCCAGCCACTGAAAGGATTGTTTGTGTAAAAATGATGCGCTACACTGTAAGAGACTGCTGGCGTTTGTTGTTTACTGACCTTTACGGGTGTTTGACTTCGTGCAGTGAGAGAAATCAGGCCTAATTACCTCCAGGTGCATATTAATATTTCCACTTTATTCAAAACTCTTTCTCTTTCACTGCATCTCTTTGCCAGAAAACAGCAGCGCAGCTTTCAAACACTTTTTAGTTAAAGGAAAAGAAAGAAAACTGGAAGTAGCCATTTAAACTGTCCAGCCACTGAACTGTCCTTGAACCCAGTCAGTTTGCGTCTGTGCAGTGATTCTTCTGTTTTTTTGGTGTCAGACCTTGTAGGAGGCAGAGGAGGTGTGTTTGTCTAAGATCTGACAAGCCTTTTGAAATGCTCTTGCAGGAAATGTGAAATCTCTGTGGCTCAATAACACCTGCAGCATATAAAAAATGAAGCCAGACAGACACAGTGTGCCACTACTCTCCAAATGCAATACAGAACATTCTGGTGTAAACATTTATAGCATAAAACTCAACATTAATGCAACCACAGAGACATTCAGGTCACTGCCTTTTTAATTCAACCCCCATATTTAGCTTTGATGAGCCAGAACACCCGCATGTGTCATCACACTGGCAGTGATTTTAGTTAATTTTGTTATTGCAGCTGTCATTTCCTATCACTCAAAATTAACTCCTGATGCAATCAACGATTAATATCATCTGTATGCTAATGAAAAGCCAGCAACATTATTGTGCTGTACTTGTTTTCATATTGTGAAGGGTTCACACTGACTTTGATGAATGGGGCGGAGGGAGTGTGGTAGCTCAGTGGTCATTTTGGTGACCTTGTAATCCTGAGGCTGCAGGTTCAAGTCCAGGTTGCATCAGGAAGGGCACCTGGCATGAAACAATTGCCAATCCTATTCCGAACCGAGTTTGCAGAAGGGAGGAGCTGAAGCAACACGTACATTGACTCACAGGTAAACTCTTCTCAGTCAAGAAAGAAAAGATTTTTATACCTTTTGAAAATAAATCAACACAGCAACATAAGTTGTAGTAAATATAACAGGCTAACCAAACAAACATGTGCAAAAACTCTGGGTCTGAGGGCCTACACATTATGCTGCACAACAAAGTCCATGCTCAATAATCCAGGTATACAATCCAACAATTTTCAGTCATGTCACCTGCTGCACAGTATTTCTGCACATTACTACAATACAACACTGTATCAACATACATAGCATGATGTAAACGCAGTCTTTAACTAAGGTTCTAGAGATAATATCTATATTTTTCATTTTTACAATGCTCTATTCAGAAGACAAATTGCGAAAATGTACATTTTGTCTGGTTGTTTACCTCCAACCTTTTTCCACTTTTACAAAGTGATGAAAGCGCAGTTGTGTAAAAATAGCTGAGGCCAAAGATATGACGCAAGCTCTTTGTGCCATCTTGCTGTGCGGCTTCGACAGGTGAGTGTTTGAAAGCTTCTGTCTGAATATGTGCCGGCTGGGTCAGAGCACACCGGCCTGCTTTGTTCGGCGGCCTCTCATTTCCACCCACTCTGATGAGCCCTGATAGCAGAAGAGGAGCAGAGACACTCAGGTATGACAAGCATGCAGAGAGGACGTTCAGGCAGTCTGAGAAGAGAATGCTTTTTTTTTTTTCTTTCTTTTTAAATGGTGTTAAAAGAAATCAGATGTTAAACACAAATATATTGGAACTCAGCAATCAGGAGAAAATATTCCCTTAAAATGTAGCTTTGAATGTTGATGAGCCTCTTTGAGATGACGTAAGTGTTTTACTCATCAGCCGCACTAGGGGGAGTGGGATACACACTCACAAGTTCACTCTAACAGACGGTCTGTGCAAGTGAACACACCACCACCATGACATTATCCCACCAACGAGTCTGCACACACATACACACTCATCATGTCCCACCAGCAGAGCTCAAATGAAGTCCAAACTCACACATCTGATAACACAGGTGAGAGTGTGAATTCCTCCAGATACCTTATCTGTCTTAACTTTATCTTTCAGCTATGTCAATGTTTTCTCCATCAGAGTATTTAAAAAGTATTTGTGTGGCTTGGAAATAAATAAATAAAAAAAAAAACCCGTCAATTCAATCTGAGATGCACTGGGATCTCTGGCAGTGCAACCCTGCCCAGGGAGAGCAGAGGCAGGGGCAAAGATTGTGGAAACATTGACATTTACGAGAGCAAAGAGAGCCCAGGTGATGCTGCTAGAGAAGGGCATATTTCTTTCTGAGCCATGCACGCACACGCATGGGTGTGTGTAATCATGTTCATAAATGCATTGTTGTATGGTTGGGTCTGTCGAGCAGTATCGGCTCGTATATTGCTCCCGGCTCAACGATTGTCGCTGCAACTGTATAGCAGGCTGACTGATGGAGAGTGGGTCTGGGTCACAGCACTGTGGCAGTCTGATGAATCTCCATCTCTGTTGCACAGTCTGGCAGGAAGTACACTAAAAACGTATGTGCTCTTTCCCGGCCAGAACAGATCAGATATGATGACAAACTGAAAGGTTTTTTGTGGACTGAGGCTGCAGAAAAATGAGACAAACATCACCTCTCTATCACAGTCACACACTACCAGCTGTCAGTGGATTAAAGTTTATCTTTGTATCCATCATATAATATAAACAGGACTGATTGTCCATGCTTCCTAGCAGAATTGTGTATTGTCATTTTATAAAATATTATAAAAAACTAATTATATTCATTGTTCCCGTCTTCATTATTTTTCATGCTCTCTTCCACCTGTCTGAATACCAAAACAGGAAACAAGTTTCTCAGATATTGTGAGTGGGTGTTGTCTACTGTGAGTGGGGCATTACAAGCACATAAGAGAAAGTAAAATACGGACATGAAAATTTATACTTGATATTTGTGATATAGTCAAATGAAAATAAGTTGCAATATACTGAGTATTTTTAAATAACTACTTTGAAAAGAGTACTTAAAAGTACTTTGAAAAGATGTAACTCTATAAAATTGTTAGACGTTACAACATTTTTAGCTAAACATGAAAACTGTTTATATGTTTAGTAGTCCCTCGATTATTGCGGGGGTTATGTTCCGGACACCCCTGCAATAAGTGAAAAACCGCGAAGTAGAAACGTTATATTTATTTTAATATTAATATATATTTTAAGGCTTTAGAAACCTTTCCCACACTCTTGCAATGTTCTAAACTCTTAAACCTATATGATTTTAACAACATACTTTTATGTACTGCACAGCAGCTACTACAAAATTTTATATGTGTACTCACCAGCCTTGGTCCAGTTCTGATCGGATTTCTGCAGCCGTTGAGCACCAGACGCTTTTAGAGAGAGCTGGACCTTTGGAGAGCCAGCACAAAACAATGGTCCAGATCGAGTCCAAATAATCCAGAGGGATCCAGATACAAAAAAGTCCGGGTGAGCTCTGGAGAAGACACCGGACTTCCAAGCAACGCCTCCCCGCTCGAGAGGCTTCATGGGCCAACAAGCAGCACTCAGTTTGACTGATAAGGCTGGAAGTAGTCCTGGTCTGGTTGTGATCGGCTCTCTGCAGCCACTGAGCGCTGAAGTCATTATGAATAAGGACCAAACTTTTTAGTCAGGTTCGGATCGGATCAAAACTTGCCCTCTATTTCGTCAGAAAGCAGTGGTCAGAAGCACAGTTGGCTTCTGGGTAGTGTAGTTGTTTGACTGACGTTACAGTGTAGACTTATTGAAAGAAAACTACAAAATGGCGGCGCGTGTTAACTTTTTATTCCGTACCCTCCCAATGGCATGAGTAATATTAAAGTTGACAATCATTGAAAACATTGAGTCCTCGAAAGTCAAACCGCGAAGTAGCAAGGGACTACTGTATTGGCTGATTGACTGTTAGACAAGTGTGTTTCCCTGTTTGCCTTCATTATGCAGCGCTATGCTGACCAAGTCTTAACTTTAGCTTGATTTTATTTTCAATTATAAACACCAGAGACCGATATCAAGTTGTTTTATTTGTCAACTTCAAGTATGAGCTTTTGATTTTCTGATTTGCATTTGATACAGATTTAATTTTTTTACACCTCACTTGTTTCTGGAAAATTAACCATTTGAGACAGTACAAAATACTCCAGGTACTGGATAGCATGCTGAATGTTTAATTCTTGTATTTTAAAATCCCGTCTCTCTTCAAGGGCTAATGCGTCTGCCTTGTGCATTGATGATTTCTTTACTTCTTTTCACACTTTGTCGTGATCCTCAGTGTCTTCATGTCTTCATTCGTCCTGCTGCCATGTTTGTAGCTGATATTTCCTTAGAGTCTGCATCATTCATGGGGGATGAATTGTTTTTCATTGCCTGTTGATCCTTTTTATGAGGAGCTCCAGTCAGGATTTATTTGTTGTTTATTTCCTGTCAAAAATCCCTCTCTTCAGTTTCAGCTTTTCACGCTATAAAAATATTTTTGTTTGGGATATAAAGAGGTTGAAATGAACACGAGTAGGGTAACTTTAAGGTCACAATACTACCATTTTTCTTCCTACCTACTATAGAAAGTGTGCTGTGGTTGTTAGGTTTTATTTCATGGCCAACTTCAGACCTCCCATGCTGGTTTTGCTCCAAGGAGAGAAGTCTGATTCTGACTCTTGACCAAATGTAACAACATGGGTGCTAAACTAATAACTATACTTTGATTTTTGAACAAATTAAAACTGAAAAGAGGCATGATAATTACAATGATTTACATCTTCAGAAAATAAACTGACACTTTGCAAAGTCTTACTATCTGTGTTCTGTCAGTTACATTGAATATAAATATTGATCTTAGTGCTGTTGAGACATTTTATAAAATGCAAAGTTAAAGCCAGCAGCAGTCAACGTTAACTTAGTTTTTCTTACCAAAATCAAAGACCAGAAATTGGAGAAAACTGTCTGAAAATAAAGTAAAGTTACCTAGCACCACTAAAAATAAAAAAAATTGACATGATAGATTTAGTTTGTGTCATTCAATTAAAAGGTGTGATTTCTAATGAAGTTTTATTTGAGAACATTTTACAACAAAATGCCTTCCAGGTATGAAAGCTGCTTTTAGGCATTATTTAGCTTGACATGGAGCCGTGCAAGCTCCATGTTCCAGTCTTTATTCTTTAGCTAAGCCCGTTATGCAGCTTCATCTTAAAATATGGTAGAACAAAAAAAGTCAACTTATGCACCATTTCAAAGGATTCTGCTACATGTTCCCAAAAGTAAAAATAAAATAATGAAATAGAAAAAAAAACCTTTCATTGCTTGAATCACAAACAAGGAGACAACACAACCTTCCAATTCTTACCCTCAGAAATGCATACTGAAGGTGCAACAAGATCAAGATTATGTTATTTTTAAAGCATGGAAAATATAAGCTCAGCTACATGCACATCAATAGGGATTTCCACATTTTAATTCTGAATGTCTTAAATTTGGGGGAGTGGTGGCTACCCATCTTGGTGTAATTGTGATTGACATAGAAGGTTTGAAGTCATCCCATCACTGTTATGCCTCTGATCCACCGTGCAGGGACAAAGCTGTCATGACTCCGAGTTTAAGCAGGGGTATGAATTAGAGTTGCATTTGGGCCCAAATAATCCAACCCGGCCCCAGCCCATAATCATAATTTCCGAATCCCACCCGACCCAATGAATTAACAATATTTACAGGTCCGAACTCGAAACACACCCCCACCCCGGACATTTTTAATTAAACTTTGACTGCTTATATAGTTAATAACGGTCGGCAGACACGCGCGGCTAAGGGTGCAGAAGATCGGAAATGGGGTGTTTGTCCTTTCTTGGTCGTCAAAGCACATCAAATCCCCGTTTCTACCTGCATTCTGCATTATTCAGACACGGACCTTGCTCTGATGTCTGCAAGGCTATTTTGGGATGTCACCTGTTTGGGTCATCGGAGGCACGCGTCCACTGAATGCAGTGGTTGAATGAACGTCCATTTGGGCTTTGATGGATCGCTTCCTGGCAGTATAGTCCCATCTGAAGCTTAACTGAATTTTTTTTTTTTAACCTCTTTCAAGGTCGGTCAGTACGCAGTCAAATGGCTGCGTGCGGCTGGTAATGGTATGGCAAACCATGTTGCCATATAATTGGATTGCCAGCCATGTGTCCGCTGACGCAATCAAAAGCTCGACACTGGCCCGGCCCGCACATTAAGCACGTTATTATGACCTGACTCAACCTGGATTAGGGCCGGGCTTTGGGTTCAGGTTCAGGTTAGAAATGACAGCTCTAGTATGAATCAAGCTTACCTTAATCTAAAAGCAAATGGTTAATCGATGGTGGCTCGCAAATTAGGTGCAGTGGAACTGCCAAGCTTTTCTTTACATACTGTTTCTTGTTTGTGGTTGCTTTGCAGCGTCCTGGGTCCCGCGCTGACGTTCAGAGTCGGTTCAAACCCTAAGAACGTGACCACTGCAGATCTCGTTCAAGTTGCAGGTAAGAGGAGCTTTACGCTTTCCTTTACAACCATCACACAAAGATCCATCCACAATCTTCATTCTGAGTCATCTCAGTTTCATGAGCCAGACCACTCCATCACAATCTAGGCTTGAGATATATTTAACCCCCCCCCACACACACACACACACTGCACACAGGGCAGTTTGTTCGGTCTGTTACATCCAACAGGGCGACAGGTTGAGACAGGTTGGTGTTGGTCAATCAGTTTATCCTTCGTATGCCTGCAGTGTACTCTTGTTTGATGCAGACTGATGGAGCGCTGTCACCCTCTTATAGGAGGCTGTAAGAATTCACTGCCTTTGCTCCCCTGCCTATTGTCTGCACTCTGGTCATCCTGCCTGTTGGCGTTGATGTGTGTGAGAGATGTGTCCTTGCTTTGGTCGGAAATGACTTGAGGACAACATCAATACTTCAATATCATTCAATATTGTCTTTGTGGAATCAAAATGATTTTGTTTTTATTATTGGCATAAATGTGTTGCTGTTCCAGTTTTTTTTTTTTTTTTTTTTTTTTTTTTTTTTAGTGTAGCAGCACTTTAGAGCACCAGGTGTTGGACGATGGCTCATGAAAAATAGGTTGTGCCCTATTTTGAGCTTTGGATTGGCACAGAAATTTATCCCACTGTCAGTTAATTTTCCCAGTTTCTTTGTCTAAAACAATTAGTTCACCATTATTGTATGTATTATTACTATTCCTGTATTATTTCTCATGCTTTTCTGCCTCTTCCTCTTCTTTTTGTTCCTGCTCACTTGCTCGACTGACTTTGATGAGGTTTCGTGTGGTGAGAGCTAATGACAGGCATGAGCAGGGCTGAAATGTCAGACCAAATGTTATGTCAACATGATCATGAGCCTGACCCATGCTGATGAATTATGAATACAGCCCACCTGAATAGCAATTTGTGGGGAATAAAAATAGAGAGAAGGACATCTTGTGGTTTAAAATTATCCTTCTTGTTCAAAAGAAAGTGAGATGCAGCAGTGAAACGTATAAAAATGGCATTGTCGAGAAAGTAAAACTATCTTTAGGGCCTCATATGTCCAAGCAGTCAGCACCCTGAAGCCCCCTGAACTCACACCAGCAGTGTGATGTGAACAAGACTTCCCACCCTCCTGAGTTGAAGTTATTTTTCAGCTTCACAAAAGCAAAAATTGATTTCAACATATAACAAAAATACAATTTTCAAGTGCCAAATTGTAGAGGAACAGCATGCTTTTAGTACAGTCTGAAATCAAAGTGACACCCACATACAGTGACCACCTGGGTAATCCTGTCTGACCTTTGCCACACGTGTGACTGTGCATAAATGGCGTGGCCTCCTAATGAACTTGTCAGAAGCCCTGCTGCATTTTGTGTGCATCTGCTGCAGAGAGTCTTCAACACAAAGCTTTGTGGCAGCGATAAAAACTGGAAACAAAAAAATTGAAAATGGCACTTGTGCTAAATGAGGCCAATTAACTATAAAAACACATACTGTATAGGCCTTCCATTTATCGTTTGTGTGGGAGTGTTCAACAATTACTTAGGTGTACTTGAGTTCTATTTCATGCCTTTATTTCTATTAAACCCCACATTTAATTAAAAGCATTTTACAAATATCTTTGTTGTATTGCTATAAACCAAAACAGACATATTTTTGCTTTTCAGTTCCAGAAAAAAATACATTCCATAAGAAAAAGACGCTTAGTTCAATTAGAGTTTTCCCTCATGTTTAATACTTTGCTTCAAATAAGCCAGACTCTTTTGTGATCTTAATTGAAAACTTGACTTGCAATAGATAATTCATCTCTCAGGTCCTGTGTGCCAGATATTTGCAGAATTTTTGTCTTTATCATACATATGTGACTTTAATCTTTCTGTTGGTAGTGATTTCAGGCTTATAATCAAACAACATATTATGATGCAATGGTCAAATGCAAGGAAAACCTATAGAGAGACTTAAAAACTACTGATCGAGACTTCTACAAAAAAATTACAAGAAAGTCTTGCTTCTTGTAAGCAATTTGCAAAGAAATTAGGGGTGGTTTAAACCTTCTACGGAGGACTGTAATCATCCAAACTGCAGTCGAGCAATTCCCCTGTTGGCCTGATGAATGTTTTCCACAACTACTAGGACTATTTTTTACTTAAAGATAGAAAAACCCTTCTTTAAGAAGCTGAAATTAAAACTACATACTGGTGCATACGCACACACACACACACACACACACACATACATATATAATATAAAGTATATATATATATATATATATATATATATATAAAGGTGTTTTAAAACCTTCCCACACTCTTGCAATATTCTAAACAATGTTTCTAAACTCTAAACACTCTAAAAGAGCACAAAATGTGATGATCTTTGCTCTCTCTGCCACTGGCTGCTCTCTACTACTTGCCAGTGCACTCGGCCACGCCCACTTCTCTGCTGCAGAGCGGAGATCGACAAGCAGCAGGAAGGAGCTTCTCCTTGCACATGTGGGCTGCACACTGGTGCAGCAGGTGCTAAATATTTTTAATTGATTTATTTTAAATAAAAAAATCTGTGCCGATCTTGCGGTTCATCCATCAATCAGCCAATTGTGCGTCATGTCCAATCTTACTTTGAAAAACCGCAAAAGAGCCAGTCAGCGAAAATCGAACTGCCAAGCAGCGAGGGACTACTGTATGTTATCACAGCTCTACCTTTTTATTTCTTGCTCACAAACTAAAAAGTCAGAACTACAAATAATACTAGCTATCTGTTGTAAGGACTGCAGCTTAAAATTACATTTTAATTTCCGAGTAACAAGTTAATCAATATCTAAAACATAAAGAAATGCATCCTGTGTGTTTATGAGGCGATTTTTTTTATGTCTTATTTTTCATCTACAACCTAAATAATATTATAACAGACATCAGATTGCCAATTTCATTGTTAATGAAATATGTTTTAATGATCCTTTTTTACACACACTATTCTTTTTGTCTTTAAAATGTCAGAAAATACAAGAAAAGTTTTTTCTGAAGTTGCAAAAGTCTTTGTTTATTAAAGTTCAACTGTACTCAGCAGTGTCTAAACTAGATTAACGTGGTTCTACCACATTCTGCCGTCCATCTATCTGCCCATCAGTTCTATTTGATGTGTTAAAGGCCCCGTTGAAAAGAATAGACAAAGCGACTCAGTTGAAAGGCATGGACAGTATAGAGGAGATTTGATAACTCGTTGAAAAGCATCTTTTAGGCAGCAGGTTCTTAGCGGCTGTGTGGTGAAAGGCCTGCTGGGAGGTCTGACTGTATTAGTGGAGGTAGAGGCTCTTGTGTGCTGCTCAACTGGAAAACTGCAGGACAAAGACGGGGCACTGCCTAATCCCTGCTCGGCTGCAAAACAAAAGCGAAAGCTGCTGCTTTATCAAAACTACAAGGCATTCTGCTTGTCTGTGTTTGTGCGCGTATGTGTGGATTTGTGCAACTTTTTTTTTTCTTTGCAGCTGTGTTCATACTGTGCCAAGAAAATGATTTATTCAATATTTGATGAAGTGGCAGCCAAGCTGTTAAAACCAATGCTGGAATGTGTTGTTTAGAACTAGTTCTTGCTTCCTCCCAGTGATTTCTAAACATGTAAATCACCTTCAGTCGGCGGGGATAATAGATCTGCCAGAACTGCTTTTGCTCACTGTGAAGTGACGTTTTGTAGCTGATGATGGATTTGATCCACTTACACGTTTGTGCTTTTCACAGCGAGTAGGTGGATTTAGATGTAGGAAGAGTGTTCTGGCTTCATAAAGTGTTATTGTATAATTATGTCCTGGCGTAATTTTTTTTAAATGGTGTTATGTACGTGTTTTGCAGTTATAATTATAAATGATGAATTGGAGTGCTTGGTATAAAAATTGAGTCCTGATGACTCGGTGACTTGTCTACCCACTGGGATCAGGATGTCGTGGTCAAATACGAGTGTGTTAGAGGGGATATGTGTGTGTTAACAGTGGCTGATAGGTGGTGGGTGGGGAGCTGAGCGAGGACACTTCTATTGTCTCGGCTGTCACGACTGGGTGACCTCGGAGCCCTTTAGAGGCCTCAAAGGCCCCAGAGGCCAAGCCGTAGCAATGAGTCGGCAGGCCCCCAGGCCGTGAGAACCCCGGCCCCGGTCAATGAGTGCTCGGATCATAAGGACCCTGGGAGCAACTTGCTGGGCCATCTGGAAAAGACAGCAGAGACCCTGACACATGGTTGTCACCCGAGGGAGACACACAGAGATGTGGACATAGACAATGTTTCCGCCTCTACTCCGGTCTTTTTGTTTCACACACGCTCACATTAGATCCTGGAAAAAAAAAAAGAGTGATGTAATTCCAGAGTCATTCAGGTAAATAGCATCACCTGTGTATGTATCCAAAATGTATATTTATACACTTAATAATGCATTGTAGTGAAAATATGTACATTGTTAGAAAATGTTCATTTGTCTTCTCTACATGTTTTTACTTTGTATTTTGTCTGAGTTTAAAAATTAGACAAAGAATACAGAGTTTAAGAGTAGATGATCTAAGCCACATGAGTCTAACTCAAGGCTCGGGAGCCAAATGTGGACTTTGTTTACATCATTTCTGGCCCCCACGATGATATGTTAAACGTAAAATACTTTTATCACTTGAATTTTTTCAGTAATTTTTGCTTAAGATGTTGAAAGCGCAAGGGTGAACGTCACATGATACCAATCAAACTCTTGTTGAGGAAGCTGCAATCAAGAAAAGATGTTGAGGTAATGCTGTTTCTGAAATTGGCCCTTAGTTTGGAAAAACGTTTTAATTTTGGCCCCCTTTTATAAGTGTTTGACACCCCTGAAAAACGTCTTCTGTGCTTCTGATTAACTTTGAGGTTAAATGTCGAGCCAACGCAAACGTATTTGTTATTTACAAAACCATGCACTTATTTACACATTTACTGTTAAAGGGAGTTTTAATGTTATCGAACTGAGAGTGGGACTATGTGGAGTCAT